GCCCGCCACAACGCCCGGCCGTTTTTTGGTTGCAGTCATCATTGTTGTTTGGCGGGCCCGGGCTGGGGATTCGAACCTGTCACCTTAGGTGTATGTGGCTGGTGCCTTAGCCGCTTGAGCCACAGGCGCCGAGCCAGGATAAGGGACTTCTATTCCAAACACCTGCAGAAATATATCTGCAAATCAGAAGCCCAATCCTGTCTGGGGTAAAAGATAAGCCAATAATTTCCAGGGGCAAATGCCAAGGGTGATCCAACTGTTGAAAAAAATCACAAGCAACCATATATGGACATATGAATGTGCTTAGAAAAAGGTGTGTCAGGATGTGCTCCAAAACATTTAAGGTGGTTACCATAAAGAGTAAGAGATGAAGGGGCCAGGGGTGAGGATTCACTTTTCACTTTCTACTTGATGCACTTCTATATTGTCTGATTTTTTTTTTAACAAGCATGTACTGCTTTTATAATCTGTTTTAACATCATTTTTTTCAAATGAGACCATAAAAGAAAAGAAAAAATCAGTCTGTTTCATCATCAATCAGAAAGTAAAATAAAATTTCCCAGTGATCCAAGATCAAGAGACTTTTCTAGACATGGTGTGGGAAAGATTAACAGTCCCTTTTTTCCCTTAGTTTTTATTTTAACAAGTAAAGAGTAGGAAGCCTGGAAAGAGCATCAGGTCCTCATTTTCTGCAGACAGGAGATCTGGACAATTTCGAGAGGAGCATGGAAAGACAGAAACTGACTTCAAAGCAGATTCCCCTGAAGATGAACAAGAGGACTATCCACATAGGAAGCGAAAAATCAGAAGAAATATTGTCCGGAAATTCAAATCTGAACATTGAATTAAAGCTGGGTTCTGGCAGCCTGGGGAGGAGAGCAGTCCCAGGCCCTCAGACTCTGTGTCTGTCCTGCGGCCAACCCATTGGCCTCTCCAGTTACATATCTGGGCTGCATCCTGCAGTAAGATTCCTTGAATTTCTACAAAGAATGTGGTATTTGCAGCATATTCTCACACATGTACTCATTTATGCCTCCCGACAGCCCTGTGAAATAAGGACTCGTGAGGAATTCTAGTTTTTAGAGAAAAAAGAATGCTTCCCAAGATGAAGTGACTTGCCCAAGGTCACTGGCAGAGGTGGAGTGAGGGTGAGAACTCCCCACCGCACACCCATTCCGCTCACTCTGGGGCGAGCCGAGATGTGTCATTACCTTTGAATCCACGCATGCCCATGGGTCCTGTGGCCCCCAGCTTCCCCTCATCTCCCTTGGGGCCAGGCAGTCCTGGGGTACCTCTCTCCCCTGGCAGACCTGGAGAGAGAAGAAACAAATGGCAGAGGGACGCAGAACAGGAAGGGCCCTTGGAAGTCATGGTCTGGTTCGGCACCCATTCTTTTTTTTTGTTGAGACAAGAGTCTCACTATGTCACCCTCAGTAGAGTGCTGTAGCATCAGAGCTCACAGCAACCTCAAACTCTTGGGCGTAAGTAATTCTCCTGCCTCAGCCTCCCAAGTAGCTGGGACTACAGGCACCCAGCAAAACGCCTGGCTATTTTTTGTCGCAGTTGTCATTGTTGTTTAGCAGGCCCAGGCTGGGTTCAAACCGCCAGTCTTTGCGTATGTGGCCGGCGCCCTAACCACTGTGCTACGGGCTCCAATCCTCGGCGCTCATTCATAAACATACATCTTCTCACATCCCCTGCACCCTGGATTTCCTATTTTAATTTAAAGATGCTGCAAAAGCACAGTCTAATAGGTGTTCAAATTTCCTCTCCAAGAGCACCTATAATGTGTTAGGCTTGGGTCCCTCCCCACAAAAGATCCAGCGCTGCTGTGAGTGGTGGTGGGGTAGGGGGGCCAACCTCCTTTAGGAGATGACCCTTTACCCTTGGCCATGCTGGAGATTTGGACTCAGAATTTTTTTTTTTTTTGAGCACTTTCTATGTGCCAGGCACTGCTCTGGCCATTTTCCTCAATGTATCTCATTCAATCATCAAAACAAACTGGGAGGAATTACCTACCAGTGACTGTACAAATGAGGAAAGTGAGGCCCAGAGAGGTTAAAGAATCTGCCCAAGGACACACAGCAAAGAGTGCTGGAGGCAGGATCTGAGCCTTGCTCCTCTGAAGTTCCAGTTCATTGTGGAACTGGTACTCACTGGTACTTAGGGAGGGACACAGGGTGGGCATGATCAAACAGGAGGAAGATGAAACAGCTCCTCATCCTACTTAAGTAAATTTGAGACCAGCCTAAGCAAGAGTGAGAACCTGTCTCTAAAAATAGCTGGGTATTGTGGTAGGTGCCTGTCGTCCCAGCTACTCGGGAGGCTGAGGCAAGTGAATCACTTGCGCCCAAGAGTTTGAGGTTGCCGTGAGCTGTGATGCCACATAACTCTACCGAGGGCAACAAAGTGAGACTGTCCAAAAAAAAAAAAAAAAAAGAAAAGAAAAGAAACAAAAAGGATCCCTTCCCTTGGGTAAACACAGGGACACAGGGAGGTGGAGCAAAGAGGCCTGGAGGCTGGGAAGGTCAGTGAATGGGATGGAGGGCCTGCTGCCAGGGCAGGTCCCAGGGCTCCCAGCCACGAGGCCCCATGGCCACAGCCTGCACTGATTGCGCCACGGAGATCCAGAATAAACAAAAGCTCCGACCTAAGCCCACAGTTTGCCCTGCAAAGGAGAGCGCCCTTAATTAACCGGCTAGTTGCTCTTTCCTGCTTGGAAGGTGAGTTGCCTTTCTCTGGGCTCCTCTGTGATGTGGAGAAACCTGTCTCCTGGTAACTGATTACTCCTCCAGTGCTGACACCAAATGTCTAGAAGACCGGCTGCTCAGGAGGGTGGGAGGACCTCAGAAAGGGCCAATTGAGCTTCTTTCTTCCCTTCTAACACAACCGGTTCTGTTGCCACAGAACTCTGGATCTAGTGCGGGATGTGCCCAGTCTCCCGCCCTGCGACTCACTAAGGCAGAAGAAGAGCTTGCACAGCCCTGTAAGGCCCTGAGCAATCTCAAGTCTGACCTTAGGGCAGAGGCCGGCCGACTGGTGTGGAGAGGAGGACGCTGCCTCCTGCCTATGTTTGCAATTTCCTTACAGATTCAGGAAGGGGAGCCTTCAGAGGGACAATTCCTAAAGTAAATAGCCAGGCACTCCCACCCCTGATATTTCCTTTTCTTCCGTCACTTGGAAGACGGTGCTCCCCATCTGATTCTGTGCTGCGAGAAAAACATTGTTCGCAGCACAGAATCAGGATGAGGTGCAGTTAGATAAAGTAACTAAACAGAAACTGCTGAGACTACGAGTCTAAGAAGAACACAGTCTTTCTAGAAGGCCAAAAAGTACCCTCCCCATCAGCCACTGGGTCTGCAGGGCTGTCACTGCATGCAGGAGGATTCAGCAGGGCAGGTGTTCATGACCCACGGATAGATGAGGGCAGTTCAGCAGGAGTCGAAGTGGGAGTCAGAAGCCTAGTGACCCGGGAACATCGAGGGCACCAGCACACTGGAAGGATCGGTCTGGCTTGCAGAACACCTCTGACTCATTCTGAAGGCCCTGGCCGTGTAGCTCCTGACTGCTTGGGTAAGAAACGGCTTCAGGCTCAGTGTCTGTAGCTCAGTGGTTAGGGCACTGGCCACGCGTACTGGGGCTTGTGGGTTTGAACTCATCCCAGGCCTCTAAACAAAAAAAGAAAGCTGGGTGTTGTGGCGGGCTCCTGTAGTACCAGTTACTAGGGAGGCTGAGGCAAGTGAATTGCTTGAGTCCAAGAGTTTGAGGTTGCTGTGAGCTGTGAAGCCTGGCACTCTACTGAGGGCATCATAGTGAAAGTCTATCTCAAAAAAAAAAAAAAAGTGGCTTCAGGGAGCTGCAAGCCTCTCAGTACCCCTTCCTTTCAGATCCTTGCACTTTTTTTTTTTTCTTGTAGAGACAGAGTTTCATTTTATCACCCTCAGTAGAGTGCTGTGGCGTCACAGCTCACAGCAACCTCCAACTCCTGGGCTTAGGCGATTCTCTTGCCTCAGCCTCCTGAGTAGCTGGGACTACAGGCACCTGCCACAACGCCCGGCTATTTTTTGATGCAGTTTGGCTGGAGCCACCCTCGGTATATGAGGCCGGTGCCCTACTCACTGAGCCACAGGCACCACCCCATCCTGGAACTTTCTAAGAAAAAGTGCTTGCTGTATCTGATTGTTAACAGCAACAATCCGTCATTAGTCTCTTGTCAGAACTGAGACAGAAGCTGAGCTGACAGGGACCTCTAGGAGCACTCCCCTTAAGCCACTGAGAAAGTAGAGAGTTAGGAAGGATTAGGGGGCCCAGGGCCCCTCTCAGGGGCATCCTCATTACCTCGAAGTCCAGGCAATCCAGGGATGCCAGCTTTGCCTTCCTTTCCTTCATCCCCCTGGTCACCTTTGGGTCCTGGTGGCCCTGGAAGGGTTAAACAGCACCAAGGTTAGAGGGTTCCTCTCTGGAACAAGACCAGGCTGTCTGGAGAGGAAACAAGATTCCCTCTCTGATGAGAGGTTGGGTAGCATTAGCTTTGGAAGCACAGGGGGTCTCAGTTTCGGTGGGCATCAGGATGGCTTCCTAGAAGAAGTAACATCGAAACCAAAATCTCAAGAGAAACAAACAGGAGACAGCTAAGTGAAGGGTGGGAGTATGTTATGGACAGAATGTCTGTCCCTCCCAAATTCATATTCTGAATTCCTAACTCCCATTGTGATGGTTTTAGGAGATGGGGCCTTTGAGAGGTGATTATGTTTGGATGAGACCATGACTGTGGGACTCTCATGATGGAGGTTAATGGTTTTCTAAGAAAAGACACCATGGAGCTCTCTATCCTTCACCCCTCTCTTTCCTTCTCTTTTTTCCCCTTGTCTGTCTCTCTCTCTCTCTCTCCTTCTCTTTCTCCCTTTTCTCTCTCTCTCTCCCACCCCCCTGCCCCTCCACCCCATCGTGGAAAGATACAGCAAGAAGGCTGCTGTTTGCACACCAGGAGGAGAGCCCTCACCAGAACCTTACCCTCCAGCATCCTGATCTTGGACTTCCAGCCTCCAGAACTATAGAAATAAATGGCTGCTTTTAAGTTGTTCTATGGTATTTTGTCATGAAGCCTGGGCTGAGACAGAGTGAAAAGGAAGAGTTCCAGGTAGAGGAAATAATCCCCACAAGGGCAGACAGGAATGTGCGATGTGTCATGGGATAAGAAGCTGGGGTACACAGAGAGAAAGTGGGGATTATGGAGGCCTGGCCTGTAGGTCAGACTCAACCTCGATCCAGGGCACCAAAAGCCATGAAGGGGCCTGAGAGAAGAGCCTGGTCAGACCCACAAGCAGGAAGATGGAAGTGGGTAGAATGGGAGGGAGGTTATAGCAGAGTTGGCCATCCATCCAGGGGAGAGGCAGCAGAGCCCTTCTGGATGAAGGAGGTGGGCATCCAAGAGGATGTCAAGGACACATCCAAAGCTGTGTAGAAAGATGAGATTCACTTTGGCTCAATGTTGAAGGTGGTGGAGGAAGAAGCCAGGATTATCCTCAGACTTCTGGCTGAGCACCCAGATGGAATTGGGGTTTCTGCTCACCCCTCCACGGGCCTGTCTTCAAGGCTGGGCTCTGGCTTACGTGATCATACTCAGTCCCCCTATGGCACTCTGTGTTAAGTGGCCTGTCTGAGAACATGCAGATGGCTCATGAGAGAAGGAGCTGTGGTTTCAACCCAGGTCTCACTAGCCCGCATCTTCTCTGCCACATGCATGGGGTTAGATGTTTTGCCATTTGAAGAGCCTTCCAGCTGCCCATCTCTGCACTGCTGCTCCCAGGCTGTGAGCCCATGAGCCCTCCCTGCCAATCCCTGGTCATCTCCAACCTCTCTGGCTGCTCACTGCCACCTTCCTGGCAAAATCTTCCCTGACCCATCATTCCTACTCAAAGTGGTCATGACCTGCTGGAGTGCGTGTACTTGGTGCTCCTTGACAGTCATCTCCACTGCCTTGTTCTGTGGTCAGGCGAATGTGTTCTCTCTCTCCTAACAAAATCTCCAGCTCCCCGAAACAAGACCTGTCCCTTCCATCCCTGCACCAGCTGTGGAGGCCCAGGCTCCAGGCTCTTGCCCCCTGCTGGTTTGCAACAAAAAAGACAATCAAATCACATGGTATGGGTGGTACGGTGTCCCTCTGCCCCACCAATTCATGTCTACTCAGAACCTCAGAATGTGACCTTATTTGGAAATAGAGTCACTGCAGATGTAATTAGGTAAGAATAGGTAAGACTGGAATAGGGTGGACCCCAATTCAGCAACTGATAAAAACAGAAAACAGAGACCCAGAGATGTGAGCAGACTGCACAACACACAGAACGCAGGACACACAGCGTGATAAGAGAGAGATTGGAGTGATATGTCTTTAAGCCAAGGAACACCAAGGGTTGCCAGGAACCGCTGGAGGTTAGGAAGAGGCAAGGAAGTATCTTCCCCTCGAGGCTTCCCAGGGAACTTAGCCCTGTGGACATCTCTGTTTTGGACTTCCAGTGTCCAGAACTGTGAGAAACCAAATGTCTGTTGGGCCACTAAGTTTGTGATGCTTGGTTCTGGCAGCCCTGGGAAACCAAAACACACATACTCACAACACAGCAGTAACGTCTTACACAATAAGTGTCTGATGAATAAATGAGTATATGAGATCAGAGGGTGTTGGTGATACACACAAACCAGCAGGCAGCCAAGATCGAGATGTACTGGTACTTTCCACAAGTTGGCACTGTCCTCAGACCCTAACCATAGTTGACAGCTGTTTAACAATTCAATGGCTCATGCACAGAGAAAGAGTAATCAGCAATTGTTTAGTTCATAGCTATATAAATCATTTAAGGAGGACTGGGTTTCACAGCCATGTTCCTCTGTGAAGAAAAGCAAAGGAAGGTTGGTCACGCTGAACCCAGTTTTCAGACTGCAGGATTGAGACAGGGAACCTGCCGGGAAGAGGCCTAAGATTGCACAGACAGTGAAAGACACAGTCCAGGAGCAAAGGAGTCCCCCAGGCTCCATTCCAGCAATCTCCTGCTGAGGTCAGGCTGCAGCGGAGGGAACAGAGGGAGGGCGCCTGGATATCTCCATTGCCAGGGTGGACCCCATCCCTCTTCCCTCTTCCCTGTGTCCTCCAGGCTGCCCCAGCAGGAGCCCAGGTAAGCTTTTTCACTTCTCAACATTTTATACTATCACATTCCTCATCTTTTCCATCACTGGGTTTGCAGGTGCTGGGACAAGGAGGAGCAGCATCCTGAGGTACCCACTCTGGGCCTGTCCATCCATCTAGCCCACTGTCCTCATGCCACCCAGCACAGATCTGCCCTTCCCTGGCTGCCCGTGGGACGTGCCCACTGGCAGCTTCTTCTGAATAGAATGGAGCAGGGTTTTCCTGGGGACCAGGTGACAGGAGAAGAGAAGATGGGAAAAGTTAAGATCCCAGGGGCGTGGATCTGGCAGAAGAAATTCTACCTCCTACCCTCCTTTGATTTCTGAGATGTCTAAAGTCCGAAGTGACTCAGGACCAGAAAACAGACTGGCAAGGAAACTCATGATTGCCCAAGGTCAGGATGTGACATTTGTTGCATAAACATTCACTGAGTCCCAGTTAAGTGCATTGCATGTAATTTGTCTTTGGAGGACACAGAGACAAACCAATCAGGGTGGACTGTGGGGCAGTAGAACGAACACTGCGCATTGGGACTAGACGCTCTGGTCTGGTCACTGAATTGTACACAAAAGGGGAGAATTTCATGGCATGGAAATTATACCTCACTAACACTGCTGAAAACAAAAAGCCCTGTGTAGGGTCCTTACCAGCCATGCGTCCTTGAGGGATCCAAGGGCTTCCTCCACCAGCCTTAGTTGTTTTCTTGCCCAAATCCTACCCTTCCCTCAGTCACACCTGCCTTAAACTGCCCCCAAGGCTTGTTGTGAGGTCCCACTTTAAAATAAAACAAGGTGCTCTGTAACCTGGAAGGGGCACGGAAAACTCCATCATTACACTTTTTGCTTTGATAAATGTAGAAGCTCAGAGGAGGGAGACTTCTCGGAGCTAGAGAGGTGGGGGGGGTTCCTGGAGGGGTGGGTTTGAGTGATATCCTAAGGGATGAAGGGGAGAGGGAGGGGGAGGAGGAAGGTGCCACAGCAGGAGGAGAGCCTGGAACACACCCATGGCAGTGGGAAAGGTGGGCAGCGCTCCCAGGGCAGGGACAAGATGTGTCCCACCAGACTGGACACATCGACTGGAGCAAGGGTTGCAAGCTGGCTATCTATGGCCCATGTGTGGTCCATGGAGTTGAACAATTAAGTGTTTCCAGAATAGCCCATGTTTCTGGGGTCTCTTGAATGGGAAAACTTTGTCAACCCGGGCCCACATTTCAACCTGGGAAAAATGGGCTGGACCTGCCATAACCCCTGTTCCTCCCCTGACATCACGTTCACTTTACTCACCCACATTGCTTGAGTGGCCTCTGCAGACAGTTTTGTTTGTGTCCTGACTTGAGAGACAAAGGGAAGAAATGCCAGGAAGGACAGGGCAGAAGATGCAATGGAAATCACACTAGCTCTGGGATCAGAAAGGCCTGGGTCCAAACCCGGCTCCGTCCCCTCCTGGCCTGGCGACCATGGGCAGACTAATATTTAAGCATCCTGAAGCTAGGTGTGCATGTCTACAAAGCAGGAACAACCCTACTCCCTCAGGGAGCCGCTGTGTGCCATTCTCTCGGCACAGTATCCCACACACGGCCCGTGCTCAAAATGGGATTATGAGCGCTCTTTCAAATCTTGCCCTACCGAGCTCTAGCTGACTATCGGGGAGGGAGATTTTCATGGAACCAGCAGACCCCGGGGGGCTATGGTGGGTTTTGATCAGTGGGGTGACATAAGGAAAGTGCTTTCCCATGAGATGTGGGCAGGAGGGAGGAACAGAGCAGGCTGTGGAGGCCCGTTGGTCAGGAGTGGAGACAGGGAAGCTGGGGCCCCAGCTCCTCACACTCACAGCAGAGTGCAGTGGAGGCCCCCACAGTTTTGCCATTGTAGTTAAGAGTTACGAATAAAACTAATAAGTTGTTAAATGAAGTATATTCTTCTCTCTAAACCAATACATCTTCCTAACAGCCCAGAAAGCCCAGACACTGGGGAAGCCCCTGAGCCCTTTCTCCTCCCACCCCGTCCTTTCCCCCAGCTCTTGGAAGCTCCTGTAGGCCCATCCAAGCTGGGACTGCCCAGCCTCCCACCAGCCACCCGCGGGGCTAATTCTCACACCTAGGGGTGTAGACACTCAGTTCCTTAGGGAACTTTTCCCGGGGCAGGAAATTCCAGAGTCCTGTAGAGCTAGACTTACAGACTTAAAGGGGGGGGTGTGGGCTGGGAATTCACTTGTGCACTTGGGGTGGAGGACTCCTGCGGTTAGGGAGGGCGTGCCAGGCGGTACCTTTGGCGAGGGAGATGTTCCTCAGCGCGATGGAGTGCTCCCAGTCCTTGAGGCGCAGGTCCTCGGTGACCACGTTGAGCATGGCCAGTTCCTGCTTGAGCTGCAGCTCCATGTCCAGGTGTGCCCGTCGCATGCGACGCGCGTCCTCACTGGCGTTGCTCACCAGCACACCCAGGTCTTGAAGCCGCGCGCGGTGCAGCGCCACGTCGTAGGACAGGCTGTGGTTGAGGCCGCGCAGCGCGCCGCCCACGTCGGCCAGCTCCTCGCCCAGGACGCCCACCCTGCGCGCCAGCCCGTCCAGCAGGCCCGCGTGGCGCCGCAGCAGCAGCCGGCTGCCGTTGCTCTCCACTTGCAGCTGGTATAGCTCCAGCTGCGCCGCGTCGCTCTGCTGGCCTGTGCGGTCCCGGAGCAGGGCCACCGCCTGCTCCGTCTGCACCGCCTGCGCCTGCAGTCCCCACAGCGCGCCCTCCAGCCGCTGCACCGCACCTGCGAGCGCCAGCAGCGAGTCCGACTGATTCTGCAGCGCGTCCTGCACCTTCCACACCTGCTCGCTCAGGTCCGCCTGCAGCGGAGCCTGCGGCAGCCGCAGCTGCAAGTCCCGAAAGCTCTCGTTCAGCCGGTTCACGTGCCGGGTCAGCGCCTTCAGGTCATCTGGGGAGCTGCGTGGCCGGGACACTGCGGAGGAGGGGAGGGAGCGGAGAGGTGAGCGGCTGGGAACGGAGGTCCTGGGTACACGAGGCAACGCCGGCATGCAACAGTAAGCCACAGATGAATGAAAAGCTGACACTGAATGCTTTAATTGGTCCCAGGCATTGCGCCAAGCTAGTGCTCCCCAACCTGTCTGCAGATTAGAATTACCTGGCCAGGTGTCCCGCCTGCAGAAATTGAGATTGAATTGGCCACTATTTTGGAGTTTATATACATATTTTAAAAATCCCAAAATAATTCCAGGGTGAAAAGTTTATGAACCGCAGTGCTAGTCTAACCATTGTGTATTAGGTAGATCCATATGAAATTGCCAATTTTTGTTGTTGAAAAGTGGTCACATACCAACAGTTTCATGTGAGTCAACTCAAGACTTTGGGGGTTGTTATGCTTTCAGTTTTAGGAGGTAAGTACCTGCTATGGTCTGAATGTGTCCTTCCAAAATTCATATGTGTAAACTTTCTTTTTTTTTTACTTAGAGTTTCACTTTGTCACCCTCGGTAGAGTGCCAAGACATCATAGCTCAGAGCAACTTCCAGCTCTTGGGCTCAAGCGATCCTCTTGCCTCCATTTCCTGAGTAGCTGGGACTACAGGTGCCCACCACAACACCTAGCTATTTTTAGAGATGGGGGTCTCACTCTGGCTCAGGCTGGTCTCAAACCTGTGAGCTCAGGGCAATCCACATGCCTTGGCCTCCCAGAGTGCTGGGATTATAGGCATGAGCCACTGTGCCTGGCCTCATATATGGAAACTTTCACCAAAGTGATAGTATTAAGAAAGGACGCTGTCTATGAGAAACAGGCCCTGGCCAGACACTGACTCTGCCGGGCCCTTCATCTTGGAGTTCCCAACCTCACGAACTATGAGCAATAAATTTCTGTTGTTTATAAATAATCCACTCTAGGGCATTTTGTAATAGCAGCCTGAACAGACCTAAGGCAGTACGATGGTTATCTTCTTTTGCAGTTAGAGCTGTTAAAGTTGCCGGTGATAATGGTTTACCGCAAATGAATTCTAACCCTGAGACCTTGCTCCAGAGCCCAGGGGCTTTCCCGTGAGTCAGCTCCAGAACTAAAGGAACTTTGATCCAGCATCAGGCTCAGCCAGGCCTCTTTCCTGCTCAGATGTCACCGTGAGGGCCCCCTGTGTGGGTGAGGACTGCCTTCACAGCCATAGCCTCCCTTCTCCACATCCTTCCCCCCACCCCAATCAGTCCCTTATTTTCCTTTTCAACAAAAAACCATTCCCTAACACCTTCCCTTTCCTCTTGGAGAGGTTTCCCTTCCTTGGTCACAAGCATCTGTTTCACAGTACTAAGAGGAGTGAGTGACAAGTGGCTTCATCATTCTAATCAGCACCCTCGTGTCCACTGGGAGGTCATGGGCTGCACTGACTCAGAGACTCCACAAACCCCAGGGTAGGGCTGCCGAAGGATGCACACTGCCTGTCCACAGCTCTGTCCGCTAAGAGAAATTAGGACTGGTGGTGGGACAGGTAGGAGGTGGGATCACGAGGCAAAGGGGATTCTGCCTTGAAAACCTTGGAGCAAACCAAGCAACTTGGCACACAGCTTGCTCAGCAATGAGAAAAGATGGACGGGTTAAGTTCTCACTCAGACCTTCACGTTGGGAAGGGGGAATATATTGGAGGAAAGGCCAGCTCCAGCTGCTGCCTTCTTCCAGTGGTGCTTCTGGAAGCACACAGCATCTGTGGCAGCCAGATTAGCTCTAGAGCCCTCTAGAGGGGTCCTCGGAGCCTGGCCGCAACTTCTCCCCCATCCAGCACTGTAACCCAATAAGGGCACATGGCCACAGGGTCTCCGGGTCTCTGCTTACTCCAAGCTCTTGTCTGCCATTAGCACTGACTGTCGGAGCACTCTGCCTCCTGATGAGACTTGAAATTTCCTTTCCTGTGGTTTCGATCCACTGATCCTAGCCTTTGGTGTCATGTAGAGCTAGTAAAAATTTTTTTTTCTGCAAGGCAGGCCTTAGGAATTTCAAAGACAGTTGGTTACTTGTGGTAACTTTTTGGATTTGAAATCTGCAGTTCATTCATTTGTTTTCCCCTGACTAGGTTCTGGCCCTCTGTGCCTCCTGGCTGCCCTCTTCTTTGTATCCTCTTAAAAAGTGAGGCTTGACCAAAATGGGATTCTCCAAGAGGTAGAATCCTAGTCATCTTCCTCATACTGAGCCTGAGACTTCTAGTAAGATGGTTAAAATGGGGCCCTGCTTGGTGTCACCAGAGCTTCGCAGACTTTAGCCAGAGGAGGAACTAGACATTTCTCCTTTTCTGCAGATAAGGGGACCTGGAGAGTGTAAGGAACCTTCTTAACACCAGCCTTCCTGCCCCCTGCTCCTGGGGCTCCCACCACTGCTGCACCCTGGAAATTTAACTAAAGAGTGGTCACTGTAAAGAAAGGTGCCCAAGGAAATGAACCCAGGACCCATTCACAGCCCAGGTAGCCACGGGAATTGTCTGCTGAAGAAATCACCACAGGCCAAGATGCCATTCTAGAACCGGTGTGTGAGTCCAAAATTTCACCCCACTTGGGTGACAAGTATTGAGGTGGGGCTGTTATAGAGCAGAAAGCCTGACAATTTCATGGCAGTGCCTTCTCATGATGCCCCTGCAGCTCCAAGACAAACCACAGCTCATCAGAAGTAGGAAGAACACTCCCAGTTTCCGCAGTTCTGGTTTTAATATTGGGATCATGAATGATGAAGAAACAGGACAACCTCCCGGACTGAAACCCAGGACTGATGGAAGGCCACATTTGCCCAGAGGCAAGACCTTGGATTTGCCAACATCCTCCCCTTCCTCTCTCTCCCCAGCTGCCCTTATCCCTGCTTCCCTCTGCATAGGTCCCTGTGCCAGGCTGGTCCCCTGCACCACGGGGCGGGGGCCCTACATGCCCACCAGCCACCTCCCTCAGTACCTGAGTCCTGCTGTCTGTGCAGAAGACTGGCCTAAGACTTGTCCATAGGGGACGGCTGCCCATCAGCTGCCCATCAGCTGCCCCTCCCAGAGATTCATGGGGTCCTTCATTGTTGCTGACTGCACACCCAATATTCACTAAATCAAATGAAAAGAAGGGAAAATGCTTCTTCCCCATCACAGCCCCTAGCAGAGCACGCTGGTTTTCTTTTCATCTCCTTTTCCTCACCCCACACACGTGCACACCCAATCTTTACTATTCGATTTCTGGTTTCCCCCCCACCTAATATTATAACTATTTCATAAGCATTTCCCATCCTCCTTTCTGTCTTTCATAATTGTAACTTGGATGACTGCATCAGAATCCCTCAAGGGGACACAGTGCAGTTTATCCATTCTCTTACTGTTGAATCATTTTTTTTTAATCATGGTAAATAAATACAGAAAGGTTATACCCTCTTTTGAAATTTCTCTTTATAGTAAATTCCCAGAAGTTGGATTAGGAGGTCAAAACGCATAAACATTTTTATGACTCTTAAAAATTCCAGCTGAACTACTTTCCAAAAATGTAGGACTAATTTATGTTCACATTATGGACTTCAAACGGTGCCCCACACTTTCCTGCCTGCCCTCTTCTGACCTTGTCATGGCCTAATATCTTGGAAGAGTATGTTACCGTGTTTTCCTGAAAATAAGACAAGGTGTTAAACTTATTTTTTCTCAAGAAGACACACTAGGGCTTATTTTCAAGGGATGTCTTATTTTTATTAAGCATAATACAACAATCTACATTTATTCAAATACAGTTAAGTCATCTTCTTCTGGAATCTGACAGGGGGAGCCGACCTTGTTGGTGGGGCTAGTGATGCATGAACTCCTTTTCCCCTAGCCGTTCGTGTGCAATAGGATGCCTGTGACCGTGGTTACCATTCGCACACCGTTGATACCTCGGAAAAAGGAACTGTGGCAGATAAAAAGTATTCCAATCTTCCTTACCGCACTGCGCCAAAATGTAGGGCGTGGCTATGCAGATCTGTTCTATAGCCCTGCCCATCACTAGGTCTTATTATCAGGGTAGGGCTTATATTTAACAAATGCATAGAAATCCTCCTAGGGCTTATTTTTGGGGTAGGTCTTATTTTCAGGGCAACACGATACATCTGCTGGTCACCATGATCATTCCCTGTACCCAGAGAGAGCAGCAGGGGCCTGTCCCATCCTCCTTGCAGCTCCATGAACTAAAGATGTTAATGGACCCTGCTGTGGACTGAACCATGTGCCTACAAATTCAGATATTGAAGCTTTATCCCCCAGCGTTCCTGAATTTAGAGACCAGGGCCTTTGGGGAGGTAATTAAGGTTAAATGAGGTCATAGGGTGGGTCCTAATTTCCTAGGACTGAGGTCCTTATAGGGAGTGGAAGAGACCAGATAAAGCGGCCATGGGAGAACCCAGCAAGAAGATGTCCTCTAAGCCAGGAAGGGAAGCCTCAGAGAAAGCAGCTCTGTTGACACCTTGGTCTCAGACTTCCAGTGTCTAGAACTGTGAAAAAATAACTGCTGCTTACACCAGCCAGGCTGTGTCCTGTCAGGGCAGGGGAGCAGCTTCGTACAAACTCTTCCTGAGTTTGCTCATCCTGAGTGTTGCATCTGGGCTCTAGAGCGTTGGCAGGAGTTAGTCTTTTGGGGGACCAGCTTCGTAAACTGCAGGGCGCAGTGCTCAGTGAAAATGCAGGGCTCTTTGGTCCAAATAGCAGGAGAAAAGTGGTAGTACCCTTTCTTCCATGGCTTATCTCTCGACCTGCCCTGGTGGTTTTTATTTGCTGACCGAAGCCAGGAGAGTAAAGTGATGCTTTACTTGCTTGAGCTTCCTCAGGTGTGGGGACACTGCGGGGCCAGCACAGACTCTTACAGCACTTCGAGCCCTGCCCTGAGACTCATCACACCAGACCTGATCCTGATCACCCCCACTGGGGGGAGGGGATGGCTGAGACCCCAGCAGGGTGCTGAGGGGCTGGTGGGGGGTTGGGCAGGGGA